GGCAATCCTCTTTATCAATACAGGCTGTGGGGTGAGGTGATAGACAGCAGCCCTGTGGAAGGGGACTTGGGAGTGCTGGTGGATGAAAAACTGGAGATAAGCCAACAATGAAGGCTCATATGGCCAGCTGATCAAGAGAGGTGATTCTGCCTCTCTACTCTGCTCCTGGTGAGACCCCACCTGGAGTACAGGGTGCAGGTCTGGAGCCCCCTACTCAAGAGGGACATGGAGATGTTGCAGCAAGTCCAGAGAAGATGATCTCAGGGCTGGAGCACCTCTGCTATGAGGATGGGCTGAGAAAGTTGGCATTGTTCAGCCTGGAGAGGATAAGACTCCTGTGACACCTTATAGCAGCTCTCCAGTACCTGAAAGGGCTACAGGAAAGCTGGGAAGGGAATGTTTCCAAGGGCTTATAGTAAGAGGACAAGGGGCAAAGGTCTTAAACTAGAGCAATTTAGATTTAAATTGGGTATCAGGATTAAGTTCTTTACTATGAGGGTGTTGAAGCACTGACACAGTGCTCAGAAAGCTGGTGGCGGTCCCATGCCTGGAGACATTCAAGGTCAGGCTTGATGGAGCTCTGAGCAACCTGATCTAGTCAAAAAGGTCCCTGTGCACTGCAGGGAGAGGGGGGGAGGGCGCTGGAGTAGATTACTTTTAAAAGTCCCTTCCAACCCCACACATTCTAGGTTTATGTGTTTGTATGATTGTGACATGAGAACTAATGATAGTACTTTACTGTAGTAGTGCCTTGAGAAAGGGTGAACATCTTGAAAAGGAAATGTGTGCCCCATCTGAAGATTCTTGAAGCTAGAAGAATACCAAAAATTACTATTTGTTATGCTAGGAACCCATCTTTAAGAGTTGAATTAAAAATACGTGGTTTTTTTGGTTTTGGCAGTCTATTCTGGGGTAGAAGAAAATGGAAGTGATAAATGTTCAGCTTCATTGTTAATTAAAAGATTTATTCCTGTTTTGGAATAATACTTTTATGTATTCACTTGGTAAGTGTCTATTGAAAAAGAAACTTGGACATGAAACAAAAAAGCTTTGCTTTGCTTTGTGAAATAGATATAAAATTAATGCGTGATTCTTCAAGTATATGATAATAGAGCATTGCTCACTGATCATTACAGTCTGAACGCACAATATTAGTGGTAAATGATTTATGCATTTGTGT